CCGCTCCGGCTGGCAAGACGATCAATAGCCCGATGGTCGGCACGTTCTACCTGTCGTCGAGCCCCGACGCGGCGCCGTTCATCAAGATTGGCGACCAGGTCGGCCCCGACACCACGATCTGCATCATTGAAGCCATGAAAGTCTTCAACGAGATCCCCGCCGAGACGAGCGGCAAAATCACGGCGGTGCTGGTCGAGAACGGCATGCCGGTCGAATTCGGCCAGCCGCTCTTCCGTATAGAGTAACTAGGTCCGAATCGAGTAGCCCGCCGCCCTGCCCTCCCCCTCCCGGAACCGTGACGCGAACGCGTCCCCGCTTGCCGGGCCTTCGCTAGAACACAAGACGCTGCCTCGATGTACCGAAGGATCCTGATCGCGAACCGCGGCGAGATTGCCCTGCGGGTGATCCGCGCCTGCAAAGAGATGGGCATCGAGTCGGTCGCCGTCTTCAGCGAAGGGGACCGCGGCTCCAACTACCTGTCGCTGGCCGACGAGGCCTACTGCATCGGCCCGGCGAGGGCGTCGGAGAGCTACCTCAAGATCGCCAACGTCATCGCGGCGGCCGAGGTTGGCAACGTCGAGGCGATCCACCCGGGCTTCGGTTTTCTGTCCGAGAACGCCCACTTCAACGAGATCTGCCGCAACTGCCAGATTGACTTCATCGGCCCCTCGCCCGAGGCGATGGCCAAGCTCGGCGATAAGAACACGGCCCGCGAACTGGCCCGTCAGGCCGGTGTGCCGGTGGTGCCCGGTAGCGCGGGGTGCATCAGCGAAGAGTCCGAGGCGGTGAAGTTCGCCCACGAGGTCGGCTTCCCCGTGCTGATCAAGGCGACCGCCGGCGGCGGCGGCCGCGGCATGCGTGTCGCCTCGAACGACCTGGCGCTCAAGTCGGCGTTGCAACAAGCCCGCGCCGAGGCCGAGGCCGCGTTCGGCAACGGCGACGTCTATCTCGAGAAGTACATCGAGCACCCGCGCCACGTCGAGGTGCAAGTCCTCGCCGACAAGCACGGCAACGCCATCCACCTCTGGGAACGCGACTGCTCCACCCAGCGGCGGCACCAGAAGCTCATCGAAGAGTCGCCGAGCCCGAATATCAACGAAGAGACGCGGCAGGAGATGTGCGAGGCGGCGGTGCGCCTCATCAAGGCCGCCGATTACTCCAACGCGGCGACCGTCGAGTTCATCGTCGATAAGGACGGCAACTTCTACTTCATCGAAGTCAACGCCCGCATACAGCTCGAGCACCCGGTCACCGAACTAGTCACCGGCGTCGAGCTGATCAAGGCGCAGATCCGAATC